TCCGCCCTCAGACACACAACACTTACCAGCTGTGTGACCCTGGGCAAGTCACTAAACCCCAATTGCCTAAAAGGAAAAAAGAAAAGAAAGAAAAGTCAGAAGAATCAAAAAGGGGAAATTCTACTCTATATTTGATACTCATTAACAGGGAGGAATTGTTTTCGGGAGTAGAAATGATGGGAATCTTGGTGGGGAAATGATCCTTGAATTTGTAAGAAGAAGAGGAAATCCAGGTATAGTCTAGATCAGAGATAGGGAAACCTGCAGCCTTGAGGCCACATGTGGCCCTGTAGGTCCTTGGGAGGGACCTTTTGACTGAATCCAAGTTTTACAGAACAAATCCTTTTATTAAGGGGATTTGTTCTGTGAAGTTTGGATTTAGTTGGAGGGCTGCACTTGAGGACCTGGAGGGCCACATCTGACCTTGAGGCCACACTCCTGCTAGATCTTCTGGTTGCAATCCCACCTTCTGGAAGAATTCTATTTAGATCCCCCTTAATGCTAGAGCCTTGCTCCTGAGATTATATTGATTTTATACTGTATATGTCTTGTTTGTATTAGAATGGGAGCTCCTTGTGGTCAGGGATCAGTTTTTTTCTTTCTTTTATTCCCAGAGCTTAGTATGGTGTGTAGCACATAGTAGGTGCTTAATAAATATTTGTTCATCTGATTTGTCCAGTAGGAGTGGATGTTTATGATTTCTTGAATTATAGTATCCAGGCCTTTTTTTTTTTTTGGTCATGATTTTAGATGTATAGCTAGATAATTCACTTATTAAGCACTTACTTTGTGTCAGGCAATGTTCTAGATCCTGGGGATACAAATAAAACAATGCTTGACAGCCCCTGCCCTCAAGAAGCTTACATTCTAATGAAGAAAATAACACATAAAGGGAAGGGGGAGTGAGAAGCCCTAGACCCCATCAATACAAGGCCAAAGCTGGCCTGTCAAAGTCTAGGAAGTCCCATGAATCAGGATCTCTCCTTGATCTGTTTTACAGGTACTTGCTTCTCACAGCAGATATTTTGGGTTTTCTTCTATCTTTTCAACCTTTTGATTTTGTTATAATATTTCTTGCTGTCTCATGGAGTCTTCACTTGCTGTTTGTCCTGTTTTACTTTTCAGAGAATCAGTTACTTGGATTTAGCACATTCTGTTATAAACTGTTCTTCTAACTCTTTCCTCTAGAGCTCTTAATTCCTTTTTTTTTTTTTTGGATTCCCTGCTTCATTTCTTCCAGGTATTGCTGTCGTCCTTGTGTCCAATCCCCTTTTTTCCTCTGAGTCTCAGATTGTAGTTGTTGTGGAGCTATTTGGGTTTGGGAGTGTTTCTGGATTTGTAATAATTCTTTATAGTGGTGGGTGTCTTCTGCGTGCTCACCTCACCATTCCTGATTTTGGTGTCTGTGCCAGGATCTGGCTTTACCCCCAGCTGTATCTTTGAGTGGGAGGGTGGTCTTGCTTGGTCTTAACCTGGGACCCCTGCATTCCTGTGCTGACCTCCTCCTCCCGGGAGATACCTTTGTTCAGGGCGCTGGTAGGTATTGGGCCATGTCAGGATCTTGGGGGTTCAGAGTGCTGGATCTTTAGGGTTCTCTGTGGAATCTCGGATTTGAATACTATAACCTCCATTAGCCTTGGGGTATCTTCCTAGCTTGGCTGCTCCCATTCCCAGACACTTAAAAGGTCCAGGCTATGGTTTTCTAATCACCCCTGGGATTATCCTTGTCTAAGCCTTCCCACTAGCTCTTCATGCCTTAGGATAGAAGCAGGTGCCCTTAGAACTGTTTTGGCGGGGGAAGGGGGGCGCAGGTAGGTGGAGAGTGGATAGAGCACTGGCCCTGGATTCAGGAGGACCTGAGTTCAAAGCCAGCCTCAGACACATAACACTTACTAGCTGTGTGACCCTGGGCAAGTCGCTTAACCCCATTGCCTAACCAAAAAAAAAAAAAAAAGAATTGTTTTGGTCTGGAAGGATTTTATCTTGGCTGGGATAGGGGGAACATCCCCCACTAGTGTAGATCAATCATATTTATTAAACAGGTACTCTGTGAGGTACTGGGGATACAAAGACAGAAGTGAAATAGTCCCTGCCCTCAAGAAGCTTACATTCTATAAAGGAAAACAATTCATAGAGAAATGCATACAAAATAAATAGAACCAACAATTGAGGAAGGGCCTCATGTAGCAAATACCATTTGAGTTAAGTTTTGAAGGGAACTAGAGAGTCTGAGAGGCTAAGGTGAGATAGGAACACATTTAAGATATGGGGAACAGATTGTATAAAGACTTGGAGTCGAACTATAGAGCATGAGGAAGGGATTAATAGAGAACAATCTCAGGGAGATATTTTCAGGCCAGGCTTTAAATGCCAAACAGAGGGTTTTGTATTTGTTCCTAGAGGTGATAGGGAGCCACTGAAGTGTATTGAGGGAAGGAGAAGGGAATGACATGGTCAGATAGAAGCTTTACGAAAAATCCCCTGGGTTTCTGGGTGGAAGATAGACTGGAGAGGGAAGAGACTTCAAGCAGAGAGCTCAATCTGAAAGCTGCGGTGATTGTCTAGGGGAGATGTGGTGCCTGCTTTGTCTTATAGACAGTCTTGAGGCTGATGAAGCCCCCCAAACAATGGCCCACACTACAATTAAGTAACCTGGGCCTCTACAGATACTCATCAACTAGTATTATTAAGCATGTGTCAGGCACTGTGCTAAATATCAGGGATACAAAAAAAAAAAAAAGGTAAAAGACAGTCCCTGCCCTCAAGGAGCTCATAATCTAGGAGGGGAGAGTGAAAGCAACTATGTACAACCAAGATATATATACGAGATAAATTGGAGATAATCAATACAATGCTGGCACCAGCTTCAACGAGTACTGGGAAAGGCTTCTTGTACAAGATGGGACCCGTGGAAACTTGAAATTGACACAGTTAGCGGCTGGACCATGCTTGGAGCCTTTCTGACTTGGTAAGGGCTGCCGGAGCTTCAGCTTGGCAGCCAGAGCCTTGGAGAGCCCAGGTTCTCCACCACACCCAGGGAAGTGTCACAGGAGGAGTTTGGGCCAGGGCATTATCGGGAGGTCATTCTCTGATGCAAGCCCAGGCCCCCACAATGTCTTTCCTCAAAGGGCTAGCCTTGCAGTCTTGAAGCATGCCGATTAGTCCTGAAGTCACAGCTCTAGTAACTTGGTGTTGGGTTTTCCCCCTGAAGTGGTCAAGCTTGGAAAGGAAGTAGGTTGCCGGAGGCAGGCCAGGCTGGCAAATTGTCAGCAGGAGTTACAGACCCTGATCGGCTATCACGGGGCTCTATGTTCACATGACCCTTGCTGACCAGCTCCTGCCCGTCCTGAGTCAGGTGAGGACAAAGGTCCCCAGTCGCTTTTCTCTTGGCCCCTGGCCAGGGCTGGACTGTTTATTCTGGAATCTTTGGCCAGATGTTGATGGAGCCAGAGGAGGAGGAGGAGGAGGAGGTGAGAGAAGAGGAGGAAAAGGGGGAGAGGCTGCTCTGCTGGATTGCCCAGAGCTCAACCCGGGAGCCCAGGAAGGAGCCGATGGGGGCCAAGCGGCGGTAGGGGGGGTTGGAGTCCACTTCTAGTGGAAATAAGGATATAGAGGTGGGAGCAGAGGAAAGGGGAAGGAAGCAGTGCCAAGTACTGTGAGCTCATTCAGTGAGCTCGAGGGATGAGATTGTAGAATGTCGGAGCTGGGAGAGAAGCTTAGAACGTAGAATGTCATAGAATGTCAGAGCTGGAAGGGACTTTAGAACATAAAAAGTCAGAGATTGAAGGAACCTTAGGACAGAACTGGCAGAACCCATAGAACACAATGTTAGAATAGAAATCCTTGTTGAATTAAATTGATTTAGTTTGAATTAAATTTCATTAAATTTATTGTGGTTGTTCAGTCTTATCCAGCTCTTTGTGGCCCATTTGGGGTTTTCTTGGCAAAGATGCTGGAGTGGTTTGCCATTTCCTTCTCCAGCTCATTTTACAAATGAGGAACGAGGCAAACAGGGTGAGGTGACTTGCCCAGGATCACACAGCTAGTAAGTGTCTAAGGCCAGATTTGAACTAAAATCTTTCTGACTCCCAAGTCCAGCATTCTATCCACTTTGCCATCTAGCTGCCCAAATTGAACACAGAATGTTACAACTCAAATAGACCCCTGATATATAGAATATCAGAGCTAGGAAAGACCTTAGAACAGAAGGTGTTACAGCTGGAAAAATCATGTGGTCTAGCCTTCCGATATTCTGTCACACATAATATTTGAAGTCTGATCATTCACATAAAAATGGCAATGCTTGGCTCATATTACAAACTTAATAAACAGTGTTCATTCATTTATTCATTCATCACAAAGACCTTGCATGTAGTTCATACCATGAGGATTCTTCTGTGTCTAGAGGCAGCCAGGTGGTGCAGTGGAGACTGGAGGGCTAAGCATGGATGGAGTCAGGTAAGCCCGAGTTCACATTCTGTCTTAGACACCAACTAGCTCAGTGACCCTGAATAAATCACGTTGCCTTTTTCAGCTTCAGTTTCCTTAATGTTTTTTTAAACAAGGGGATTGGACTTGATAATCTCTAGTGTCCCTCATGCTTCTTGGAACAGGGGGCCTTGAGGGGCTTGAGAACCAACAATAAACAATCATAGTCTTTGTTCAACACTTTGGGTGTGTGTGTGTGTGTGTGTGTGTGTGTGTGTGTAGGGGGAGGGTGTTAAGACATCCATTTGCCAAACAACTTGGAGGAAAATCATACAGCAACATAGACAATGGAGTCTATATGGCACCTCTATTGAACATCAGGGAATGGGAAGGTTTCTTGGAGAAGAGGGGTGGAAATATGATTTATTCCAGCTAGGTTTTGGTGTTTGTGCGTGTCTGTCTATCTGTCTATCTGTCTATCTGTGTCTGTGTGTATCTGTGTGAGTGTTTAAACGATCACTGGCTGAGGCACATGATTTGGACAGAAACCTTCTTCCTTGCCCCAGCTGTAATCCTCTCTTGTGGATGCCAAGAAGACAGGCTGTCCCCAGAAAGACGAAGTGCCCAAGGGGGCGAGGAGACGCGTCAAGCTCAGCATGGAGGATGACATGAAGATTCATGAAGAAAGTACCTGTCCTGTTTTGGATGAGCAGCTCCCCAGAAGGAAAGGTAAATTAATAATAATAATAATAATAATAATAATAACAGTAATGGCAGCTGAGACTGAGAGTACTTCAAGGTTTCCAAAGCACTTTTGTATCCATTACCTCATCTGAGATAACCCTGGGAAGTAGGTGCTATTAGTATCCTCATTTTTTTACTGATGAGGAAACTGAATCAGAAAGAGAGAGGAAATGACTAGGCCTGGGACAACAGCTAGCAAGTTTCTGAGTCTTCCTGACTCCACCTCCACCATCTGGATAGCCGCCATTAAGGTCCTTGCTCTCTCCACCCAGGCATCTGTAGCAAAGGAAAATGTGAAGCCCTTTGGACTTTTGGAAGGAAACATGCTAATTGTACTTTATAAGAATGCCAGAGCCAGAGGAGACTTTGGAACATCAACTGTCAGTTCTGGAAGGGACTTAATTTTGTAGAGTATTATAGCTGGGCAAGACCTTAGAACATAGAATGGTTGGCCGAGGAATCAAGAGAGCCCGGTTTTAAATCTCCTCTGAGGCATACTGACTATGTGTCCCTGGGCAAGCCATTTCACAGCTCACTGCCCACAAAGCCTTCTACTCAATCAATTGATCAATAAGCATCTTTTAGGGGCCACCATGTGTCAAGTGCTGTACTGGGTTCTGGGAATACAAAACCCAAATGAAACACTTTTAGAGTTTATAAGTCAAAGGTTTGCTTTCTTCACTGGGCATTCCTTTATCAGTGAAATCACAGGCTCTAATCAGAAAATAAACAAAAACATAGAATGTTAGATTGAGGAAGGACTTCAGACTACACAACCCCTTAGAAACTCCTTCTTTTTACATAGGAAAAAAAAATAATGTCCAAAGAGACGGTCTACAGGTTTCACTGCAGGTCACTGCTTAATAATAGATACTGTCTTGTTTGTTGTTACAATCATGACTATTTTATCAACCCATGTAAACTAATGGCCTGTCTATAGCTTTCTGTATGCTCTGGGTTTTCTGCATGTGTTCTCCTGTACTGAATTCTCAAGGTAGACAGCTCCTAAAAGGAGATCCTGGAAAAGTAACAGCTGAGATAGCTAATAAACAAATTTTAAGGAGAAATGATGCCAGTTTATCAAGGTCAAAGAGGGGAGAAAGTGAAAAGGATATAAATTCATCTAGTCCCAGTGAGACAGAAAATTCTGCCCAGGCACGTAACTCCTTAAGCAAGTCCTTGAGCCAGACAAAGTTCCAACTGCTCAAAATTTTATTTTGTTCTGGGGAGCGGATCCTTTCCCTCATGAATAGCCAGGTCTTGGCTAAGGCACGACTCTGCATGTTCCCCCATTCCTCTCAGAAAGACTTAAAAGTTCTAGAGTGTTTTCAGTCCTGCTGGGCTCCACCTCCCATGATCCTTTAGCGCATCCTTCCAGCTGAGAAACATTACATTTCCCTTGCCAATAAAGAGACCTGGGAAATGGGGCTAAAGAACAGTACGAATACAGAATATTATCATCATTGGACACTGTTGCCTGTTAGCAGATCAAAGACCATCCTATGCCCCTGTTACATTTTAAAGCCCCACAGCGCTAAGTTGGATATGGAGGGGAGACATTGGAAACCAGGATGAGGTCCAGGCCAAAGGGAAAGGGCTGAGAGCAGGGGAGAGATCTGGAAGGATAAAGGAGGTGGGAGGGTACAAGTGCTGGACTAAGTCATGAGCCTTGAGTTCCAGCCCTGTCCCTGGGGCTTACTAGCTATGAAACCATGGTCTAGATGTTTTTCCTCTATGGAACTCAGTTTCCTCATCTGTAAAATATACATAACGAATGATCCCAGCCCTGCCTCCTTCACAGGGCTTTTGAGGCTCAAACTCACAAAATATAATGACACAAGAAAAGACATAATGTATTTCAAGCACTTTGAACCCAGTGAACTATAATCATGAAGGGCTATGTAAATATGAGCTGTTACTTAATTATCAAGACTTCTCTAATACTTTGATGGCTGTGTGATAATTATTAATAATTTATTTTTAAGCGGTAGTTCACATTTACTGCAAAGTAATTTAAATATAATTCCTTCTACCAGTGGTGGTAATAAATATTCATAGACAAGTCTCTAAAACGATAATTCATGTTGTTTAGTCATTTTTCAGGCATGTCTGACTCCCCATGACCCCTTTTGGGGTTTTCTTGGCAAAGATACTACAGTGGTTTGCCATTTCCTTCTCCAGCTCATTTCACAAATGAGGAAACTGAGGCATACAGGATTAAGTGACTTGCTCAGCATCACCCAGCTAGTAAACGTCTGAGACCAGATTTGAACTCAGGAAAATGAGTCTTCCTAACTCCAGGCCCAGCTCTCTATGCACTATGGCACCCTCATGCTGCCCTGTAACTATAGGCGAGTTATAATGTGCATCACTGGAAGTTTTTTTCCAGATTGGTAATTCTATATACAGATGAGATCACAGGTCTGGACCAAAATGATATTCTCATTTGCTTCTCTCCTGGGGGGAGATTTTTAGACCTTTGGCTTGGTCCCCATATTTGTCAGTCAATAAACATTTATTAAGTGTTTACTGTGTGCTAGCTACTATGCTAAGAATTGTGGCAAAAACACTCCCTGCCCTCAAGGAACTCATATTTTAATGGAAGAAACAACATGTATTTAGATAGACAGATAGATAGATAGATAGATAGATAGATAGATAGATAGATAGATACACACACACATATATATATACACATACACGTACATATACACGCACATATACATATATATGTATACACATGCATATATGTGCACACATACATGTACACACACATAAAATATTTGCAGAGTGTAGGGGCAGCTTGTGGTACAGTACATAGAGCATAGGGTCTGGAATCAGGAAGATCTGTGTTCAAATCTGGCCTCACACACTTACTAGCGGTGTGACTAGGCAAGTCACTTAACCTCTATTTGCCTCAGTTCCTCATCTGTAAAATGGGGATGCAGTAGAGAAAGAAAATGGCAAGCCACTTCAGTATCTTTGCCAAGAAAACCTTATGGATGAAGTCTATGGGGTCACATAGAATCAGACATAACTGGACAACAAGAAGTAAATAAATATTTCCAGAGAGCAAATGGGAAGGAATCTGAGAGAAGGCACTAAGCCTGAGGAAGGGGGAACGAAAGGCTTCCTGTAAAAGGTGGAATTTGAGTTGAGTCTTCAAGGAATCAAGGGAAACCAGGAGGCCGAGGTGAGTCATGGGATGCATGCACGCTAGGCATGGGACACAGCCAGTGCAAAGGCACATAGATAGGAAATGGAGAGTCACATTCCAGGAATTGTACATAAACAGAGTAGGGTACCTGAATTGTAGCACGTATGGAGGAGAGCCACGTGTAAGAAGACTGAAAGGAGGGAAGGGGCCAAGCTGTGAAGAGGAGAAAGGGCACCTGGGCATCTGGGTTGTCTAGCTGCCCTGACCCCTTCCGTGGTTTTGTCCTCCAGGGCTCGGCCTCTGCTCTGTCCGCTGGGGCCTGGCTCTCATCCTGCACATCTTGTTCGTCACTTACTCCCAGCGAGTGGATCTCAGCATCGCCATTGTTACCATGGTGAACAGCACAGGCCAGCAGAAGTCCTTCAATGTCTCCGTAGATGTGTGTCCTGTACCCTCTCCGACTCCCCTCAACACATCCCAGCCCAGAGAGGTCAAGGTAGTAAACTGCTTTAGTTTGGGAGAACAGAGAGGCCTGGGACAGCCCCACAACATTATGTTTTTCCCCCAAAACTTTTAGTTTTTGCCATTTTTAGCTTTTATTTTTTAAAAATTATTTTATTTTGCCCATTACCTATAGAAACAATTTTTAACATTTGTATTTTTAAAATTTTGAGTTCCAAATTTTCTCTCTCCTTCCTTCCCCATCTCCTTCCTTAAGAAGGCAAGTAATTTGCTGTAAATTATACATGTGCATTCATGCAAAACATATTTCCATATTAGTCTTGTTGCAAAAGAAAACAGACAAGAGAAATAAAGTTTAAAAAAAAATTATGCTTTCATCTGCATTCAGACTCCATCATTTCTTTCTCTGGAGGTGGATAGCATTTTACACTGTAATTCCTTCAGAATTGTCTTGGATCATTGTATTGCTGAGAAGAGCTAAGTCACTCACAGCACAGCATTATGTCTGCGTGCTCAGTTTCCCTCCTAGCACAGAGATGTTGGAGAGAAGAGCTCTGGGAAGGCCGGGCCTTTCCTTTGCTGTCAGTGAAATTGTGCTAGGATTCCTGCATGTAAGTTATACTATGAACACTTCTGGAATACTAAAATTTCAGAGAGGGAAGGCACCTCAGAGAGGACCTAGCCTAACCCCTACCTAAGCAGTAACTCCCTCCAGAACATCTCCAACAAATGGCCATTAAGGCTTTTCTGGAACACTTCCATTTATGGGGAACTCAGTCTTGCAAGGCAGCCTGTGCCAGCATCGAATCTACTATGCCATGTTGTCCTTCCATTCTGTCTCCTAGTTATTTACGTACATGCAAGGTAAGTGTTTAACAACCAGTTCTCTTGGTTTGGGGGGGGGGGAGGGAGAAGTATACTAGCACACTTTTAAGTTTAAGCAGTACTATTAATATTTTTTCCATTACTTTCTTGGGCAGTGAGATGGTGCAGTGGATAGAGTACCAGACCTGGAGTCAGGAAGACTCATCTTCCTGAATTCAAATTTGGCCTCTGACACTTATTAACTATGTGACTCTAGGCAAGTCAAAATTAACCTCTATTTGCCTGAGTTCCTCATCTATAAAACGGGGACGCACTAGAGAAGAAGATGGCTAGCCACTCTAGTATCTTTGCTAAGAAAACCCTGCGAATGACTATGAGGTCACGTAGAATCAGACGTAACTGAACAGCAGCAACCTGGAGTCAGGAAGACTCATCTTCCTGGGTTCAATTGTGAACTCAGACACTTTCTAGTTGTGTGACTCTGGGCAAGTCACTTCACCCTGTTTGCCTCAGTTTCCTCATCTGTAAAATGAGCTGGAGAAGGAAATAGCAAATCACTCCAGTATCTTTGCCAAAAAAGCCCCAAGTCGGGTCACAACAAATGGGACAAGGCTAAAAACTGACTAAACAACCATCAGTTTCTTAAATGTAGACAGTGAACAAAATAATCAAGCCCTGATATATAACATCTGCTGATTTCCAAGGTTTCACTGGAAACTGACCATCTGGCTGTCATGAAGCTGTTGGAGCTGACTCCAGCACACCTCAGTGTTCGTGACATAAAAGCTTACCAAGGGCAGGGACCGTATCATTTTTCATCTTCGGAACCCTGATGCCCAGCACATTCCATTCCAGGTGCTAAATAAATATTGGTTGGGTTGGGTTGAATTGCTAGAGGCTGCAGGCTGCAGATGGGGATTCCTCACCTGAAGTGTTTTCTTTGTGCTCAGCCTGAGTTCCGATTTCCTCACAGGATACCACTGGGCTCGAGGGATTTCACGTCAGAGAGAGGGTTTCTAAGGCAGATCACCAACAGCAGCTCAGTCCAGACCTTCCCAACTGGTCCTTGGACCCTTTAGGAGCCTGGGCCTTGGACCTGAAGTCACATGGTTTGGGCCGGAGGGCTGTCTTTGATACTAGTTATATGGCCTTGGGCCAAGGGCAGTGGGGACTGGCTTGGGGTTGGTGTCGTGGAAGGAAGACTGGATTGGGAGTTAAGAACAGTGGAGCAGAGTAGAAAAAGAAGGGACCGGCCCATGCGGTCCTTAGGCTTTCTTCCAGTGCCAGTCTAACATCACATTAGATAGCTGCTGACCCTGAAATCCTGTGATCCCGGAGCCTGAGTTCAAATCCTGATTGACCACCTTTGACTTCTGTGTCCCTGGGCTACTCAGTGAAGTTCTTTGTGTCTCATGGGACCATAAATGGACATAAAGTGATGTAGAGATTTAGAGCTGGAAGAGACCATAGAAGCCAGTGCGTCCAACTCCCTCACCTAACAGATGAGGAAACTGAGTCCCAAAGAGGTTGAGTGATGTACCCAGAGTCACACAACTAGTAAGAGTCAGAAGGGTCACTTAAACCCAGGTTTTCTAGGCTCCAAATCCCCCAACCTGTGGACTCCTTGGTCCACTTTCTCAGTTTCCTCCTCTATAAATGAGGGGTCAAACGAAGATTTCCCAATTCCCTTGTGGCTCTGAATCCTCTGGGCCTCAGTTTCCTAACTTGTAAAAAGGGGACAATAATACTTGTGTTTGATTATTATAAGAATCAATATAGTAAATCTGGAAATGTGTTTTGCACAATTGCACATGTATAAGCTTTTTCAAATTGTTTGAGGTCTTACAGGGGAAGGGAGGGAGAGATTTTGGAAGTAAAAACATTTTTTAATAAATGTTAAAAAATAATTTTACATGTAATTGGAAAAAATAAAATATTACTCAAGAATCGATATAGTAGGTTGAATTTTGGACCTGGAATCAGTAAGACTTGGGTTTGAATCCTACTGCAGACACTTATTAACACTGTCTCCCGGAGCAAACTGCTTAACCCCTCTGAGCCTCAGTTTCCTCGGCTGTGAAATAGGAATAATAATAGTGCTTGCCTGTCAGGGTTGTCATGAGAACCAAGTGAGATAACACAAAGTACTTTGAAAACCTAAAAGTACTATATAAATGCCAGCTATAGTTACTATTATTAATAATAATTAATATAAAAGCATATAGTTTTGGTAAACCATAAGTTGTCATAGAAATGCCAAGTATCATTATCTCTATTCTATTCTATTATACATTGATTATACAATTGCTTATACTATATTATGCAATAGTAGACACTTAATGTTTATTGATCATATTATATTGATTGATTTTACTATATTATGCATGATTATATATCATGCTGCCTTATACATCTATTATATTTATATTATACATTGATGATAACTATATTATATGTTACTTACGCAATATTTATGTTGTTCAGTTGTTTCAGTCATGTCTGACTCTCCATGACCCCATTGTGGGGTTTTCTTGGCAAAGATACTGAAATTATTTGCCATTTCCTTCTCCAGCTCATTTGATAGATGAGGAAACTGAGGCAAACAGGGTTAAGTGACTTAAGTCACATAGCTAGTAAGTCTCTGAGGCTGGATTTGAACTCAGAAAGATGAATCTTCCTCATTCCCAGCCTAGTGCTCTCTCCACTGCGCCACCTAGCTGACCCTTATACGATATTATACTATATGATACACTTATTGTACTATATTATTATGATACTATATTATGCATTGATTATATAATACTAGTATGCTGTATTGTACGTTTATCATTGTATAGTATTATCATGTCATATCATATTATATTATATCACGCATCTCCTCTGCTCACCTAGTCATTTGACAGGTCTCCCACTCTTCCAGGCCCCTGTCTATGACTGGACCCCTGAAACTTGTGGCCTCCTCTTGAGTTTGTTTTCCTATGGCTACCTTGTCACCCAGGTCCCTGGGGGCTACCTCACGGGCATTGTGGGCTGGAAGCCTGTGCTGGGCATTGGGCTGCTCCCCTCCTCAGTCCTCGGCCTGCTCCTACCCTCAGCTGCAGAGCTTGGTGTGCTGTATCTTGCCCTTATCCAGGCTTGCAGAGCCCTCTGTCAGGTAAGTGCCACATTGGTTTCATCATACATAGGAAGAATCCAGGGCTGCAAATCAAGAGACTGACTTTGTTTCAAATCCTGTCTCTTCAACCTATTGCCTGTGTGATCTTGGATTTCTCTGCTCAGGAATCCAATTTCTTCATGTGTAAAATGGTGAAATGATAGCTAGCGTTTCTATAATCTACAAAGAGCTTTATAAATATCATCTCATTTTATTCTCATGACAACCCTGTGAAGTAGATACCATGATTATCCTCATTTTTCAAATGAGGAAATTGAGGCCCAAGGAAGTGAAGTGACCTCCCCAAGTTCATACAAATAGTACCAGGGGTGGGATTTGAATTCTTCCGGTTCTTCCAGGTCTTCCAATTCCAGAACCATTGCTTTTTCCAATATGCCACAGCAATAACAGCAGGTCATATTTGCTCATAGGTATCTTCTGTTGTTGTTTTCATTGTCTCCCACTTGGACTTATTCAGTATATGAGCACATCTTATCCACAGCTCTTTACAACTTCACTGTCCCCATGTACCATTTCTGCTTCCTCCATCCACACATAGGAGCAAGGAGTGCTGAAGTGGTAGATGTACCATCACTGATGATAGGGACAGGCCACCTAGAAACACTGGCCAAGCGCGTCCTTTTCACGTCCATTGGCTGCCTTCCTTCCACTTCCCTCTATTGGGCTTCTCATCACTCTCTGCTTTAGCTGGGTCTCCCACTGAACCATCTGCATGCAGGCTTATTATCATTACATCTCTGGGCCTCGGTTTCCCCATCTGCCAAGTGAAGGGATTGGACTAGATATTGGCTAGAATTGACACTCTAGTACGGATATTATATTATGGTGCTAGCTATGTATGATAACACAGTCATAAGAAGAAACCTGTAGGAAATTTGACTGGAAGTTGAAGAAAGGCAATGCTTAAGATTATGGAGATGGGAAGGGAGGAGAGGGTATTATGTGATCCAAACAGATTCTGTATTCCAGAAGGAATCTGGAGCAGATGTGACCCAACAATGATGCCAGTGGTAATGATAATGATAAACATGGCGGACGATTCCTCTCTAGCATTTCTCTCTGGGATGTTGATAGGATCAAATGAGAAAATGTACTCAAAAGTGTTTTGGGGGCAGCTAGGTGGTGCGGTGGATAGAGCACTGGCCCTGGAGTCAGGAGAAGCTAAGTTCAAATCCAGCCTCAGACACATAATGCTCACTAGCTGTGTGACTCTGGGCAAGTCACTTAACCCTGATTGCCTCACCAAAAAAAAAAAAAGTGCTTTTTAACCACCAAGAGAGTATTGAGTATTAACAACAACAACAATAATGAATATATTTACAGTATTTTAAGGTTTTTGAATGATTCAGAACCTTGTGATACATATTATATGGCACAATGCATATATTATTTCATTGATTCTCATAATAACCAAGCGAAGTAGATGCCATTATTATCCTTATTTTAAAGGTGAGGAAACTAAGGCACATAGTGGTTAAATGACTTACCCAAGGTAACAGAACTACTATAATCATAGTAGTAGTAGCAGTAGTAATAATAGCTAACATTTATATATGCTTTAAGGTTTGCAAAGCACTTTATATGTGGTATCTCATTCGATCCTTACAACAACTCTGGGAGGTAGGCAATATGATTATTATCATTTTACAAATGAAGAAACCGAGGCAGATAGCGGTTAAGTGACTTATGTAGAGTCACATAGCTTGTAAGTATCTGAAGCAAGATTTGAACTCAGGTCTTCCTGATTCCCATAACTTACTATGTCATTTAGTAATATTATTATTACTACTACACAGGGGTCTAAAGGGCTAAATAGAATGCTGAACATGGAAGCAGCCTTGTCCCTTCTTATTACTCTTACTGGGAGCCAAATACATTCTTGATGTTGGGTTTTATCTTTTCGTTTTCTTTACCCACCTCCCTTGTTGTCCATCTGATGAGGTGCTTGGGTGCTTGTACTGGGACCCCAATTCCAAGACTATATTTCTATTTTTCTCTCTTCTTCCACAATTGGAAGTAGAGAAGACAGAGTAGAGATGGCCAAAGATGGAAATATACATGGCGTGGTGGGAGGAACTCTAGACTGAGGGCTGGGAGACTGAGATTTTAGTCCCTTTAGGCAGGGCCCTTCCCCCTGTGAGATTCAGTTTCCTCATGTGTACAATGCAGGGGTTGGATTAGACTCTCTAAGGTTTCTTCAGGTTCTAATGTTCTACATTCTAAGGTCCCTTTCAGCTCTAACATATTACACTTGAACATTCTGTGTGCTAAGGTCCCTCCTAGCTCTGACATTCTCTGTTTGTAAGCTTCTTTCTTACTTGAGCTTTACTCTTTTAAACAAACTGTGAGAAATAAAATGCAGCATGCCAGCTGGGGGAAGATGTTTTTCCTTCTTTGGATTTCTCTAAGATGATAAGTTGCAGACAAGGCACAGACTTGCCACCAGGAAAGGTAGTTTCCTCACCCAGGAATCCTATATAACCATGAAACCACAGGACCCATCCCCTTCCTTGTCGCCTTCCTCCCCCAGGCCTCCCCACCTTCCAAGTGCAGAAAATGCAGAAGTGAATTGTCACCTTTGCAGCGGGAATAACCAGGTTGCTTTGCCATCTGTGACAGGGGGTGATATTCCCAACAGTTTACACTCTCTGGACAAAGTGGGCCCCACCTCAGGAACTCACTTACCTCATGAATTTTGCAGATGCTGGTAAGCAAGGGCTTACTCTTGGTTGCTTTCCACAGATCTGCCTCGTGTGGCCCGATCCCTTGACCTGCCACTGCTGGTGGGCCTCACTCACTGACTCCATGTTCCCAGGGATGGGTTTTATGAGACCGCTGTAGATCCCACACCTCAGAAGACATAAAGGCTGCTCCTCCAGAAGACCATGACCTAGGAAAAGCTCATCTTCAGAACCACTACCCGCTGGTACAAGGACCTCCTTCCCAAGGGTTCCAAAGTCTGTGTTTCAGCTGAGATGGGCACTAGTGAGACTTGGCCTTGGTCATGTTCCTTCCCAACTCTAGACCTCCATTTTCTCAACTGTAAAATAAGAGAGTTGGGTTATGTGCTCTCTGACATCCTGGACGGTTATGGACTTGTTATGTTCCAAGGTCCCTCCCTTGTGTCGTTCTGACACTTGATGTCCCAGAACACAGGAGACTTTCCAGTTCTAATATCTACATTTTCAAGGTCCTTCAAACTCTGATATATTTTTAGGGTCCCTCTCAGCTCTGACATTCTGTATTCTAAGGTCCCTCCCAGCTCTGACATCGTGTTCTAAGGTACCTCCCAGCTCTGACATTCTGTGTTGTACGGTCCCTCCCAGCTCTGACATTCTGTGTTGTACGGTCCCTCCCAACTCTGACTTCCTACATTCTAAAGGCCCTCTCAGTTCTGACATTCTGAGTTCTAAAGTCCCTCCCAGCTCTGATATTCTGTGTTCTCAGGCACCTCTCAGCACTAAGATTCTTTATTCCTTCCCAGGTACCACACTAGGGACCTTCTTTACCCTCATGGTGGCAGGATCACCTGCCAGACCCTGGGGTGGCCTGCCTTCTTCTACATCTTTGGTAAGTCATAAACCAGGCATTTCTGTGGGGACCTTGTCAGGTACAGAGAACCCCCTTCTCCTCCCCTCCCCGCAGCCAAAGCTGAAGCCAACAGTCTCCAAAGGGTGTCCAAAGCAAACATGGGGAGAAAAAAGATCTATTTCAAGGTTATGTTCAGGGCAGCTGAATAGTCTCAAGTTTACCAGCCCAGCTTGTGGAAATGAGTGACATCCGGTCAGGTTCTAGGGAGACAGGGGTGTCTTTTTAGAGGAGGGCTATAATAGTAGAGAGAAGAACAGAGTGTGGGGATGGCAAAAGGGCTGAATCTGGGTTCAAATCCAGGTGCCCTTAGAGGGAACCTTGGCCAACATATGATCCAAGTGCCTCTTTCTGCAGGTGAGGAAATGGAGGCCCACCAAGGTCTAGTGACTTGCTTAAGGCCAGTCAGAGAATTCGTATCAGAGTCAGGAACTGCAGCCACAAGTCCTAAGTCTGACGCTGTTGACCCTGCACCATGATGCTCCTGTGAGTCATGAATGAATTGTTCTCTCTGCTGAATCCGTATTAAAAATTCTGAGCCTCCACCTTCTAGTTCGGGAACCAATATAATAGTACAGGAAGTTGGATTGAGATTTAGGAAATCTAGGTTTTTATCTGGACCCTATTGTTGGTCAATCAATGAGAGCCAGGGTGAGTTGGGTTTACATCAACACTAACATGGTAATGTCATTTTGGTCCTCTTCAATTAAGAAAGACAATAACAAGGGGCAGCTAGGTGGCACAATGGATAGAGCACCAGCCCTGGATTCAGGAGGACCTGTGTTCAAATCTGGCCTCAGACACATAGCACTTACTAGCTGTGTGACCCTGGGCAAGTCACTTAACCCCACTGCCTTGCAAATTAAAATTAAATTAAATTAAATTTTTAAAAAAAGACAATAACATAGCTTGCCTTCCCAAGGGGTGGGGGAGGGGTGAGAAACACGAAGAGAATTTGGAACTCAAAAATTTTTTAAATGAATGTTTTAAAAAAATTTTATTGTAATTAGGTAATATTTAATAAAATAAATAAAAATGTGTTAATTCATTAAGAAAGAATATCTGCCCTGTCTCCCTCCTAGGGTGGTTGTAAGGCCCAGATGAGTAAAGGAAAGTCCTTCGGGGAATATGGCAGCGTTTTCCCACAGGAGGTAATTCTCATTCCTTATCCTTGTCCCTACTCACTAGGAGGTGTGCATTGTGTCTGGCACCTGCTTTGGTTTTTTCTGGCGTTTGAAGATCCTGACAGTGACCCTTGCATCAGCACCATAGAGAAGGAATACATCACATCAGCCTCAACTCAGAAGGTAGAGGGTGTACTTTGTGTTAGCCTTGCTATGGCCTGAGCTTGGAAATGGGAACTGGACCCTTCGGAGACTATCCCAGTAAAGGCCCCCCCTTTAAAAAAAAATCCACCATCTCATTTGATCCCAATACCAAAAAGTAGGTGGTACGAGTATTATTATCCCCATTTCACAGAAGAAAAAACTGAGACTCAGGTGAAGCAATTAGCCCAAGGAAACCTCATTATCAAGTGACAGAGCCAGGACTTCAAACCTCAAAGTCCAGTGTTCTTGAGCGTTAGATGGTTTTACTAAGAGGATTTCTCTTCCCAGGGCCCCTGCCACCGCTGGTCACTGCCTCTCCTCTCCATGCTGAAATGTGGGCCGCTGTGGGCCATTGCAGTTGCCTATTTCTGTTGTGATTGGCTCTTCTACACCCTGCTGACTCTGCTTCCTGTATACCTGAGCCGCATCCTTCACCTGGACACCGGGGAGGTGAGAGCGTCTCATATCCCTACTTTGTCTAGGGCATCATCTGCTAAATTCCCATCAGCGAAGGAGAGAGGGAGGTACCTTAGATTGATCTATCACCCAACACTCTCACTGTTAAATGCTGAGCAAACTGGGAAACCTAGGCTTAGCTCTAGACACACTCTCTGTCTTTCCTACTCTCTTGTTTGCTTTTTCTCCCTCCTCTTCTTTTTCTTCCTCCCTCTCTACCTCCCAGGGTAGAGAACCAGGGTTCTTAGACTGTCCAAGATTTTCTTTTTTTTTTTTAATTTTTAAATTTTTAGGCAACTGGGGCTAAGTGACTTGCCCAGGGTCACACAGCTAGTAAGTGTCAAGTGTTCGGTCTGAGGCCGTATTTGAACTCAGGTCCTCCTGACTCCAGGGCCGGTGCTCTATCCACTGCGCCACCTAGCTGCCCCTTGTCCAAGATTTTCTGCCACTTCTCTTGTGTTGTCGGGCAACTTGATACTTCGGGTAAATGACCTTGAGCAGGTCACTTTAGCACTCTGGGTTTCACCTTCTTCACTTGTAAATAAGAGGGCATGGATTAGATGGTCTCTAAGGCCCCTTCCATCCCTGATTCTCCAGGTTCTAAGTCTCCCAGCTCTAATTTCCATGTCCTAAGGTCCCTTCCAGTTCTATCATGCTCTGTTCTAAGGCTCTTCCCAGCTCTGACATTCTCTCCCAGCTCTAATTTCCATGTCCTAAGGTCCCTTCCAGTTCTATCATGCTCTGTTCTAAGGCTCTTCCCAGCTCTGACATTCTGTGTCTTTCAGAACATCCTTGCTTTGATATTCTGTGTTCTAAGATCTCTTCCAGGTCTGATGTTCTAAGTTTTAAGTCTCCTAGCTTTGACTCCTGCATTCTAAGGTCTCTTCCAGCTCTGGCATTCTGTATTCTAAGATGTTTTTTCTGCTCTGATGTTCTATGTTCTAAGCCTCCCAGCTCTGACAGTCGATGGACTTTGAGACATCCCAGTTCTTCAGTTCTGGATTCTAAGAACTCTTCTAGCTCTGATGTTCTAGGTTCTAAGCTTTGACTTCTTTGTTCTAAGGTGCCTCTTGTCTCTGACATTCTATGTTCCAAGGTCCCTTCCAGCTCTGTCGTGCTCTGTTCTAAGATTCTTTCCAGCTCTGACCTTCTGTGTTCTAAAGGTCCTCCCCATTCTGACCCTTTGATTCCAGGTGTGTGTGCCTCACTATGGTAACTTCCAGGGGGAAATTTCTGTCCTCCTCTAGAGCTGCTCTTCTCCCTCACCCTCTCCTCTCTTCTTGCCCTTTCTCATCTTCATTCTATTCCTCCTCGTTTTCCTTTCCTCTCTTTTCCCCTCTCCCCAAGATCTCCCACCCCCTGACTCCATGGGGCCTTTTGGCCCTGGTTTATTCCTTAGAGTGGCTTCCTGAGTGCCCCTCCACACATTGGGAACTGGCTGGGTCATATAGGCACAGGGCTCCTGGGAGACTTCTTGGTAGCCAAGAGCCTGCTCCAGCTGGGTGCAATGAGGAAACTCTTCACAGCCCTGGGTAAGAATGGGCCTGACGCCCCTAGGTCCCTCCCCGCCCCACCTCCCTTCTCCCACCCCTTAACGAGCCCTGTGGGTCCCTCCAGCTGGACACATTCAGCTGAGCCCTGGAAACATGATGCATTTGTTTCAAAGTGAGGCCTGGGTGGGGTGTGCACGAGCCAGCACAAGTTTCGCACTTTCACTCAACAGGAGTTTGTGGAATAAATGAATGCGTGAGTGAAGGAGAAGAGGCCTAGCTGGGGAAGAGGAGCGTGAGAAATGGACAGAGAATGGAGATGGGGAAGGTTGAGGGAGGAGCAGGAGGAAGAGATCCCAGGGGAACCAAGAGGCACAGGAAATGCTGTCCTTGTGTCTTTCCCAAGGAATGCTGAGCCCAGCAGGCCTGGTGCTCACGGTGTCATATGTTGGCTGCGATCACATCGCCGCCGTCATCTGGTCACTCTCTCCATGACCCTCATCAGCACGGCAGGTGCTGGCTTTGCCGTGAATCTCTTGGATGTCGTCCCCAGGTCAGCCTCTGCCTCCCCTTTTCTGAATGATATCTCCCTGCTCTTGTCTGTACTTGGGCCCCTGCCGGGCATCACGAAAAGGTGAGAAGGTCCAAGATTCCTAGCAAATTGAATGTTGTTCTGTTAGCCAGCCAATAAGCATTAATCAAGTGCCTGTTATGCACCAAGCAGGGCAGCTAAGTGGCGCAGCGGATAGAGCGCCAGGCGCGGAGTCAAGAAGATCTGAGTTCAAAATCTGGCCTCGGACACTTATGGCAAAGTCACTATACCCTGCTTGCCTCAGTTTCCTCATCTGCAAAATGAGCTGGAGAAGGAAATGGGAAACCACTCTGGTAACTTTGCCAAGAAAATCCCAGATGAGGTCCCAAAGAATCAGACGTGACTAAAATGACTGAATGGTAACAAAAACGACATGTGGCAGCACTGTGATAAGCCCTGGAGACACAAAATGAGCCATTCCCTGCCCTTGAGGAGCTCCTCAGCTAATGCTTCCAATGGGCCATCAAAGTTTCCTCTTAGGGAGGGAGGGGGAGAAAAATTTAAAACTCAAAGTTTATGGAAATGATTGTTGATAAATCAAAATGAATTAATAAAAAAAAAAAGATTTCGTCTCAAGGGGCCTACTGCATCCCTCAGTGCTGTTCTCTCCACAGCAAGGTGCCTCTGCTATTGGACTAAGCTCTCTGAGGGCAGGGACCCTCTTTGGTCTCCCCAGCAGGACTGGGCACACGGTGGGGAATCACTGAAGTGGTTGAATGAAAGAAGTTAAAAACCACTTTTTGGCTTGTGCTCTTCTTTTTCCAATAATTCAGTATGCAGGCTTCCTGCATGGAGTCATTAACACCCTGGCCAATCTCTCAGGAATGGTGGCACCCAGTGTGGCCGGATTCCTCAGCAGTCAGGTAACTGGGAAGAAACAGTCCTCTCACAGGAACCCCAGAGGCGCACAGCAGATATCATCTGTACTTAATACATGAGGCTCAGCTGCTCCCACCTGAATCCCACAGGCCTAGAAACCATCCCCCAACTGCCTTAGCCCAAACCTCACCCATCCAGATCCTACCATCCTTCCCAACAATGCTTGCCCAGGACCTCGGGCCTGGCCGTCTGCCCTGTGGCTCCAGCCTCGGGACCACTCTGACTTTCCGTCTGCACTGAAACAGAACTTTGCTGTATGAGTTGTTTCACCCAGGTAGAAGGTGAGCTCTTTGAGAGCGGGACCTGACTTGTGTTCTCTTTGTATTCCTAGAACTTAGAACAGTGCTTTGCACAAGTAGGTGCTTGTTAATATATGTCCATTCCAAAAATGGTTCGTGCAGGAACACACAGCAACGTAATCCGTGTTTCCGTCCGTGAGCATGGCAGGCACTCCACTACACCACACCAGCAAAAGGTTCTCTGGCCTCATCAAAAAATCTGGAGACCAGGGTTCTAGTCCTTACTTTGCCATTAAAAAACTGTGTGGCCTTGGGAAAGTTATTTTCTTTTTTTCTGAGCCTGATTGTCCTCATCTCCTTATTTTCCTCCAAGGCTGAGCTCAGGCACCATTTCTCTCAAACCTTCCCCAGTGCCCCCCAGTGGTTAGTGCTTTCTCCCTCCTCAGATTACCTGATCATTTACTCACCTGCACAGTTATATCCCTCCAGTAGAATGTAATCTCCTTGAGGGCAGGGTCCATTTCATTTCTGTCTTTGTATCCCAAGCCCTTAGTCTAGTTCCTGGCACACAGTAGGGGCTTAATAAATGTTTATGGAATGGACCTGAATCTATAAAATGAGAGAACGGTGTCCTAAGGACCCTCCCAGCTCTGACTCCTGTGTCCTAAGGGCCCTCCCAGCTCTGACTCCTGTGTCCTAAGGGCCCTCCCAGCTCTGACTCCCGTGTTCTAAGGGCCCTCCCAGCTCTGACTCCTGTGTCCTAAGGGCCCTCCCAGCTCTGACCTTCTGTGTCCTAAGGGCCCTCCCAGCTCTGATGCCCTGTGTCCTAAGGGCCCTCCCAGCTCTGATGCCCTGTGTCCTAAGGGCCCTCCCAGCTCTGATGCCCTGTGTCCTAAGGGCCCTCCCAGCTCTGATGCCCTGTGTCCTAAGGGCCCTCCCAGCTCTGACATTCTGTGTTCTGAGGGCCCTTCCAGCTCTGACAGTCAATGGTCCTACAAAACGTTTCATAAATCCACAGCGCTGACTGACACCATTTATGAGAAATGCTTTCCAGGAATCCTCCAAAAAGTGGAGCTGAGGCCTCAGACCAAACACTTGACACTTACTACCTGTATGACCCTGGGCAAGTCACTTAACCCCAATTGCCCAAATAAACAAACAAACAAACAAATAGATAGATAGATAGATAGATAGATAGATAGATAGATAGATAAATGAATGAATGAATAGATAAATAAATAAATGAATGAATGAATGAAGGCCCCTAAGGAAGCTAACCTCTGTATAAAAAAAAAAGGCAGCTAGGTAGTGCAGTGGATAGAGCTCTGGCCTTGGAATCAGGAGGCCCCACGTTCAAATTTGGCCTCAGACACTTGGCACTTACTAGCTGTGTGACCCTGGGCAAGTCACTTAACCCCGACTGCCTCACCAAAAATTAAGCCAAAAAAAAAAAGTGGAGCTGGACCAGAGGGTCCAGGGAAGCCCTCCAGGCACAGCCCAGGGCAAACTGCCAAACTGGACAGGCAGCATATGGTTTGAGAGCCTTGCAAGTATATGGTGGCTCATTGCCATCAGGACAGTTCCCTACCTAGGGATGAATTTTATCGTCAACTCACTTTGACACCTATATCTCCTGAGGAAGAAGGGGCTCCTGTGTCACAAAAGGAAATACCTCCCTGGATAAAATTAGGGTCATTTGAAATACTGAAGAGCACAAAGTGCTGGGTTTGGAGTCCAAAGGCCTAGTTTTGAATCTCTGCTCTACTACTTCCATCCTGTGTGACCTTGGGGGAGTCAATTTAGTCAACCAACATACATTTATTTAACACCTGCTATATGAGAGGTGAGTGGCTAGGTGGTACAGCACACAGATCTATGATACTGTGATCAGATGACCCCTTAGACCCTTTTGAACCATAATAATCTATGAGTTTAAGAAAAGGGGTATAATAAATGCTGAGACTAGGAAGTTTTATGTGACTGGGTCAGGATTTGGAAACTGTACCTCATTCTCTTTGTATTATTGCCCGCCCAGGTCTCTGCTTCTTCGTTATAACAGCCACAGGGAAAAACTTGTTTATTCATCAAAAGTCATTCTAAAAGACATTTGTCAAACCCTTCCTTGCTGTTAATAAACCAATTTGAGGAGTGCCCTTTGTAAGGAGGCTGACTTGGGTGTTTTTTTGGGGTGGGGGGTGTTTATTGTGTTTAAAACAAAATACAGAAAAATGAAAGTGTACTTCATTGCAACCCGGGGGCTGCCTCTCTCACCCATCCTCTGTCCCTGTTCTAGGGGTGACAATTCTTGAGTTACCCACCTCTCCATTTAAGACTGGAGGTCTTATTATAAAGAAAAAATAACTTTGAAAAACCTGAGGACTCTGGTCAATGCAATGGTCAGCATAAGACCAAGGGACTGCGGAGAAAGCCTTCTGCCCCCTTCTAGACAAGAGCCAATAGCGTCAAGATGCAGAGTGAGCCAATCACTTGGAACATATGGGAATTTGCTTTGCTTGACTGAGTATGTTATGAAGGTTTCATTTATTTACTTTTTGTTCAATTAGTCTGGGGGAATGAAGAGAGAGAAAATACATATTTAAATTAAATTAAATTTTAAAAAATAAAACTATCCCAAAGATCTCTGGGTATCAATAAAAAAAAAAAAAGAAACCCAATGGGCTATAATCAAGGCTCGACTTGGAAAAATTGACTGTTTCTCCAAGATGTACATAATATTCAGTGTGATAAAAGTGTGCTTTCATGATGAACGATTAAAGAACATGTTCCAAAATCTTGTAATCTCATGCAATTCAAACAATTTCATCAAAAAGACATGTTGAATGTTTTTTGTAAATTTTTTAATTTATTATAAACTTAAATATGAAATGAGAAAAGAAAAAAATGCCATGTACACAGCAGAACATAAGAGAGGATTCAGCATAAAACAATAAATTTCCATTTCAAGAAAACCTATATAATAAATACAACACATTGTTTTCAAAGCTGCTTAGCTTTTCTCTGCTTCCTTGTAAGATTTCTTTTGTTCTCTGCTGTGCTTTATTTACTTTACTTTATTTTTATTATTTTATTTATTTTTTATTTACTTTATTTTATTTTTTCCCTTTTCCCCGCCAAGAAGGCTACAATTAAGCACAGATATAAAAACACATGCAGAGTTATTTATAAATATAGACATATATATACCTATATATAAGAGCATACTACGCTTATCTCCTATCATCTCTTTCTCTGAAGGTGGATAGCATCTTCCTTCATAAGTCTGACTCCTGCCATGCTTTTCTAAATCAGCCAGCTCATCATTAACTCTACCACAGCAACATTCCAATCCAGTCACAACCTATCTGAGAGATTGTCTATGAAAGTTTTTTTTCCCAGTTTCCTACATTCCTTCTATTCTTGGCTACATAGATTTTATTTATACAAGAAGATTTTAATTTAAAATAACCAAAATTGTCCATTTTATACTTCAACACGCTCTCACCTTATAGTTTAAGGTCTGGTATTGCTGACTCTACTTCCTTTACATCTTTTTTCCCTGGCTTTTTTGAAGTTCCTAATCTTTTGTTCTTCTAAATGAACTTTGTTAGGACATATCGAATGTTTAAAAAAAGTTTTAAGAAATAAGTAAGGGGTCTTCAAATGAGATATTTGCAAAAATGCTTAGCACAGTGCCTGATGCATATAGTAAGTGCCATATAAATGCTAGTGATGGTACTAAGTAGCACAGTGGATAAAATGCTGGGCCTGGAGTCAAGAAGACCTGAGCTTGAAGTAACTGGACAAGTCACTTAATCTCCATCTGCCTCAGTTTCCTCAAGGGGATAATAATAGTACCTACCTTGTAGGTTTGTTGGGAGGATCAAATAAGATAATATTTGTGGAGCTCACAGTACCTGGTATATAGCAGACACCTAACAGAAGCTTATTCCTTTCCTGACCCCTTCAAGCAAAGACTGAATGATCCAGCCTTGGCTTGTCTAGTAAATCCTCTGTATCAATAAATAACATGCATGTAGCAATTTAAAGTTTACAAATTTTATCTCCTTTGAGCCTCCCAACTTTTTGAGGCAGGTAATTTTATTCTCATTCAGCAGACTATGAAACTGAGGCATATGCAATTAGAAGTGTCTGAAGCAGGATTTGAACCCCTCTCCCAAGACTAGCTCCAGCACTCCTTATATGTATTAATCAAGCAACCAGTATTTCCTAAAGGCTGACTTTGTGCCAGGCAGCCTGGAGATGCAAAGATTGGTGGGGAGAAATACAAAGACAAAAATGAAATTCGCCTACCCTCATGGAGCTTACATTGAATTGGGGGATGAGCATACGCCAAGTGAAGACCAGGTAATTGTAGCAAACATGGGAAGAATCAGGAAAGGCTTCAGGTAGGCAATGGCCCTCAGCGCCTGGAGCTCAGCTTTGAAGGCATCCGCTCCCATGGGTCAGCCCTGGGACCCCTGAGCCCTCAGAGCCAGGTGGCTTCGCCCTTGGCTTGCAGACCCCACGGAATGGCCTGTGGGTACTCTGTGGAGGGGTTGGGAGGGCTGGATATCATGAAAGGGCTAGGGGTGACCTGGAGGGGAGGCAGGTGGTCCCGAGCTGTGGCAGAACTCACTGCTAGTGACTGCCTTTTCCTGTGCACACCTGCTGGGCTGGGGAAGAGGCCTGAAGGAGCAAATAGTGAGGGGCCCCGGAGCCTAAGGGGAAGGGTCTCAAGGGCCAGTTCTTTCCTCCAGGGCTACAAAGAGGGCAGGGCAGAGTGGTTACTGCTTTTTCCTGGGTGGGTATGAGAAAGGAGCCTAGGTATCCTGCCTTCATCTTCCTTCCACTAGTCCCACCCT